TTACAAGACCGAACTGTCCTCTGAAAGAACAAAGAACGAAATAAGCCCTGATTGATTGTCACTTTGATGCAAACAATTTTCCGGGTGTCATGAGAATTAATGTCAAAACTTTTGCACATGATACTCGTAAAAAAGAAAGCTAATGCATTCATCAAGGTGCAAGGTGCAAACCTGTTGGCTTTCCAACTTCTAATATCTCTGTTTAATGTGTAAGCCTGTTGTTCCGGGCAAATGAAACGGATTACGGACCCACGTCCTAAGTTCTATGTTATATACGATTGGTGAAAAAAGCACAAAATACCCCAAAATAATGTCTGATACTGAACGGTAAACAACTGCAGACAGTCTATATTTCCATTTGTTTTAAGTGTTACCAGAATTTGTTTTCCCATTATTTGTAAGGCATCGTGATGAAATCAGGCGCTCGTCAAAATAATGAAATCGAAGAAACCGATATTTTCCACTCGTTGGGCAATTACATGTATTTATTTATTTTTTAAAAACTGGCTCAACACCTTTCTTCGTCAATAAAAAACACATTTCTATGTTAATTTTACTGAAAAAAAACCCCGTTGAACAAGAGCACAGAAAGTGTAAATTTTGTTTCTACGAACACTCAAGCTTTGGATGTCACCAACCTTAGGCGGCTGTCTTCTCGCTAATGTTACCTCTGACACCACAGGCGACACCCACGTCCTTCAATCGTGAAGATCTCGACTTTAATTCAAGATAGATGGGTGCTTTTTAAATCAAAGAATTTAAAGACACATTTACACGCTTTAAGATGCTACCAATAACTCAATATGCAAAAAAAAAATTAAAAAAAAAAAATTAAAAATAAAAACTTGTCGAACGCTTGATTCCACCTTCCACCAAGCCCTGACATAATAGATCATTTTTACGGGCAAGTGGGCTAAACCAGATTTTTGGGGTTTCCAGAAATCTTGACCTACTCCAAAATTACGTGGGCATTGCCTTAATAATAATAATAATAAATAGCATTTGTATAGCGCATATCCCCGCTCAACAGCAGGCTCTATGCGCTTTACACTATATTATTACCCCAGCAGACCATAGAACATTCCGAAACATTCTCAGCTTCCTGGGAAGCATACAGTGCAAGCAGCTGATTAAGCGCGCAAACACTAACAAACTGACAAGATCTTTCGCTGTCTATAGCCGGGTACCCATTCCCACCTAGGTGAAGTGAGGAAAATTCGTGTAAAGTGCCTTTCCCAAGGACACAACGTCGGGTCCCTGACGGGATTCGAACCCACGACCTTACGGTTGCGAGTCCGAGAGCCTAACCACTAG